GGTATGCAAATAAAAGAAATGCTAATAAGGCGCATGCTAATGAGGCGTCTGGCGGGATCTCTGCGGGGGCTGTGCGGTCCCGGAGTCGCAGGGGCCAAGGCCCCCCTTCCCCTGCCCTCCGTCCCCATCGCCCTTCCCCACGCCGCACCACCCTTCCCCAGGCCTTGAGACGACCGACCCCTGCCACAGCCTACCCCAGACCCCCTTGGCCACCACCCAGGGTGGCTAAACGGGTCCTACCTTTGTACTGGACCTCCGGGTGCACTGAGCACAGCGCGCCCAGCACGGGCTCCCCAAGGATGGAGGGTGCCTCTCCCACCACGTCCTGAGGGGACAAAGGCAGAGTGACAGGGACAGTCTTCGCCCAGTACTCCAGGCACAGGGGCTGCCCAGTGCAGCCCCCAGCACCAAAGGGACTGGCCCAGCTCCTGCCACAGTGGGGAGGAGAGAGACGGGAGCTAACATTGCCCCTCACCTCTGGCAAAGCCCACTACCCACCTGCATGACCCTGAGCGTCTGCAGAGCCAGCTGCTGGGCTCGGGGGGAGGCACACGGCAGCACAGCAATGAGGCCTTTGTAGACTTGGTTCTGGTACTTGGGATTGCCGCGGCCCAAGGAGTCCATCAGAACCTGAACATCTTCTTGAGCTTCTGCTGAGTTGGAAGTGGCCAAGAATTCGGTAAGGGATCGCACCCCTGTGCAGGGAAAGAAACACCAAGTTGTGTGCCTGGATGAGACTGGGTCACCCATCTCAGGTGTTCCACTGTCACCCCCGAGAGAACCCAGCACCACGTTCCACTTGAAGTGCAGCTCGAAGAACAGAAGCCAGGAAAAAAGTTCTTTGTCCTTGTCAGGAGCCACACCACCAACTGGAAAAGCCATTGGCAAAATTCTCAGCTGGAGTAGGTGGCCAAGGCCCTTCTGAGGGCATTTACACAAGCAGAGAGTCTGGCACCGGGATGCCAACAGTGCTGCTAAGGGTCTCTCTGCTGATCCTGCCGCTTCATCTCTCTTGCAGGAAGATGTGACAGCAGGTATCACCCCATAGCCTTTGACAACATAATCCGAACTACAGAACAACTAACAGGGTTTGGCTCCCACTGCTCAGGAGAAAAAACAGGGGAAAAAAGTATTGTAGTGCTCTTTCAAAAGATAGAAGCCGCAAAACCCTCCCACCCCGAGAGGGGAAGCCTGGGAAAGTTTGCAGTAGGTGAACGCTGCAGGTAAGAATGGAAACTGTTTTGTAGTTTTAACCGGAGAAGTTGCAACCAGCAGGACAGCCATATTGCATGAAAAGAAATGACTGTAAAGAAAGTGAGCTCATTAAAAACTCAGAGAGGGGATAAAATGCAACTGCTCGCTCAACAATAGCTGAGCCCCTGAACTCCTTCCATCCCGAGAAACGCTACAGCGATCTGCCATCTGGCAGGTGGAGCGCAGGGAGTGGCTCAGTGCTGTGAGCAGCCCCGGGGGTCAGAGGTAGTGAGAACAACCTCACCTGAATTAGGAAAAAGCACAGATGGACATGCCGCCTACCATAGCTTTCACAAATGAGCTCCTTATACTTCCTGCCAGTGTCCGCGACAAGCTGCAGCAGCTTTACAGACTCCCGTTTGTCCTCTTCTTTCAGATGGTTCAGCCCTAGTATTTCCAGGAGAATCAAGACACCTCCAATCTCCAGAAATTCAATAAGGTATCTGCGTCTGCAAGGATAGGGGGAACAAAGCCAAAAGTGTCACCTGCCTTGGAGCCCATCTTCCTCTGTCAGCTCGCCATGCTGCTGGGAACCATCACCTCCTGCCTTGCTGCAGTGGGTACCTGGTGCCCAGGCAGTGAGCATGAGGAGATTCAGCCTGGACCGCAGAGGCAGATGCCTGCCAGCAGCACATTTTGCTGCCAGCCAGTCACTAGCTCCCGCTTTACCCCATCCTTATTTCAGATATTGAACCACAGGCACAGAAAGCCCCATCTCCGCACTTGGGCTCTCACCACACTCCTTCCACATTGTGCCAGTGACCCAGTGGCTCTGGAGACATGCACAAGCAGTGGATTTGGTTTTGAGAGCATTTGAAATTCCTGCCACAAGCCTCACTGGGGCCTGTCTTGCCTGAAATGCATAACACAGCCCACCCAAAAGACCGCCAAGGACTTGTTATTTTCTTTATCTATTCATTCCCTCACCCTTGTGTGCCTTCCCCACGGCACCTCTCGCACAGTGACATTCTATGCTCACCCACTTGCAGCAGATAGGAAGATGCCAATGGACTTGAGCAGCTTGTTGAGGCATGTGTTGTACGTGTAGCTGTTTGACAAGGCTAAGGAGAGATTTACAGACCATTGTGGTGTCTCCCAGGCTGCCGTTGGCAATCTGGAGGTCTGAACTGGATATTCTCTCTGTGGGAGAGCATGGACCTCCTCACAGGCATGCAGAGGCAGCACACTCATCTCAGTATGAGAAAAAACACTAATTCTAGGTTCCTGACAGATACGACTTTCTCTTTAGTTCCATCTTTAGATAGTCACTTGCTCTCCCCTGCAAAACATGGCTGGATATGGATGTCTCCATACAGAACCTTAATTTTTAAACTTATTTTTTGGTAGAGAACTTTTCCTTCCTCTCCATCCCACTACCACATGCCACCTCCAGCTTTCCAAGGAAAGAGATACGTCATCCTGAGCCACGCTGTTAGGCGAACCAGAAACAAGCTGGCTCCCTGGGAGAACTCGAGCTCCAGCTCTGGTTCTGTCTTGCCATCACTGCTTTTAATGAAGTTGTCCAGGATGCATCTTCGAGCAGTTTTGTGGGCACTATCCCATTCCTGCAAGAAAACCATGAGCTTCCTGATGGCTTCCTGCTCTTTGACGGAAGTCATGATCTCTTCTGCCTAGAGAAAAGTGAGAAAGAAGTTAAAAAAGGGCTTTGAAGATAGAAAAAGTCTGTGCTAAGGGATTACCACCAGAATCACATCTAAAATCTCTAGCAAATAACATTAAAGCACTTAGTAGTCATTAATTACATCTGAATTTCCTTTATGCTAATTTCATAGATAAGAAAACTGAGGCAAAAAGAGAGTTCCTAGTATGCCTGAAGCTGCACAACGAATCTGCGACAGACTGGAGATTATTTTCCAGGGCAGGTGGCTTCACCACAGAAGCTCTGTTAATAAAGTGATTTTCATGTTGCCCATTCCCCCAGCCTCGGTTTCTCACTAGCCTCATGACATGAACACTGCATCTCATATCTGACCTGCCAGAGAGTAAATAGGGTGAAATGAGAGCACAAATAGGTATGGATTTATAGGGAGTGACAGGGTCAAGGGGGCTGTAAATGCCTGTTAGCACAGCAGTGCAGCATACCCTCATTCACGTGGTAGAGCAGCAATTAGGACTGGGCCCACATCCACTCCAGGAAGATGTGCTTGTCCTTGGTACTGGGAAAGTGCTTTGGGACACTTTGGCATGATGGACATTTGCTGTGTTTTTTTTTTTAATCTAATTTCTATGGCATATTTTTAAACAATCTAAGAAAACATGAAATTATAAGAATTACAAGGAAGATGACAAAAACACCCCTTGCTTGCACTTCCTTCCATCCCTTCACACAGGTGTTAAAGCAATCTATACTTTGCCAAATTTCTTTGGCACACTTTTGGTTCAGTATGATATCCCTTATTCCTGATTGACAAATGTGAAGGTGCACTTAGTAGGGGGGTGAAATGTCAGAGGATTAAGCTGTCCATTCATTCAGGTAGGTAAGAATTTCACTGACATGTATGGGCTTGGCTTTAAGACACTGACCAACCTCAAGAAGCCTTACAGTTAAACATCAATATCAGAAGGTATGAAAGGAATTCGTGCCTTGTCTAATATAGTTCTAGGACTTCCTACATAAGAAAAGCACCATTTTAGGTTTTATTTAAAGCGTGGTTTAAAAGAAAGAAAGTTAAAATTACACAAAGTCTTTGGGTTTCAGAATAAGAAGTTTCTTTCAATGTAATACAAGTCGCCAAGATTACCAATTTCCCATCTACAAAGTTCTTAAGCCTCTTCTCCTAGAATATGGAGCAAAATCCCAAACCAGCTTCAGAATATCCCCAAGATACCTGCTCAAAAATAACTTTCTATTGCTATTATTTGAACCAGATTGAAAACAATCACCAAGTGGTAAACATGTACCTCAGTGCCTGAAAACAAACAAAGTCTTCAAAAAGCTGGCTAACAAACAACATCTGAGAATTAAGATGAGATGAAATTTCATTTGGGAATTAACGGTCTGTGCTCTGTAAGGAGTCTGTGTCCTTGGCAGGGTGTTTTCAGGATCTCCTTTGCGGGGAAGCAGGTTTAAAATAAATCTATTTTCCCAAAATAGTTGTGACTGAAAATGTTATTAGCCATAACAAATGTTAGTGCTGACAGGAGAATGGCTTGTTAGGGGCCTCTGGTGAAACAGTCAAGTGAAAGTCATATTTCACATTATTGCAAGCATTTTCCTGTGATTTACAGAATATTTGTGAAACATTACTTGCAAGGCATATGATTGATATTGAGAGAACAGACAGTGTGTAGGGGGAATCTGTATTTCACAGAGACTGTTTGCATTAAATTTACAGTCCCATAAAGTGCTCCTGTGTCCTCAACAGAGATCTAGTTAAAAGAATTTTACAGTCTGAAACATCCCAAAATTGATTCTAAATTAACGTTTCCATATTTATGTTTAAGATGCCGGTAGTGTAATGCTATCCTATTTTTATTATAAAGCTGCAGTACCTGCCCCCCCCACCACCCCATTCAGAAATACCAGCACCAGCCTCAAGACGTGAGGATTTTAGTGATACAAAGGACTTGCGTGTGAATCAATGGCAAAAAAGAAGAAGAGTTTGAAAAAATAATCACGAGGCTTCTGAGGATACAGTGGTATCTGTCCCTGGCTGCTATAACAGCATCTGCTGACATAGTAGTCTTTAAGCTGATGTTGTAAAGTACTCTGAAAATGTACATGAATATTTTTATTATGACCATTTTACATATGGGAACATACAGACACAGGGAAGTTAAATGACTTGCCTGAGTCGTTTGTCAGTGCTAGCATCAGCACATAACTCCTGCTCGTTGGCTTCAAACTCTGCTCTCAACAGTGCTGGGCTGCCACCCCAGTCTATTGGTCCTAATGATCAAAACAAGGCTGGGTCAGGGCAGTGCTTTATTCCTGCCAAGAAAAACACATGTGATTTAGGAACTGGCTCTGGCAATTCAGCAGTTCTTTACATCCAGAGTGCTGCTAAATCATCAGACTGAGATCAAAAGTCAGACTGATGCTGTGTCAGGCTCAGTCCAAGTGTGAGGTGCCAGGGACTAACAGCCTTGGACTCATGGAAGGACAGAGTGACGGTGATTTGGTGTTACCTTTGCATCTTGCAACAAGGTTATGCCCGGCCTCAAGCAAAACTTAGAGCTTCTGTTTCCCCAGCAGGTTTCACCATCTCCTGGCAGACCTCAGGTGTACCCCAATGTCTTCCACCCAGCACCTATCAACACACAGTCACACTGGCCTCTCTCTCACCTACATGTCCTGCCTCCCAGACCCACTGTTAACCCCAGCCACAAGCCCAAATCTAGCCCCTGCACTCCCCTAAAAAAAAACTACACCCATCCCAGCCTCTCCCCCCCAAATCCACTGCTGCCTAAACATTCCCTGCCCCAGACCCAACCGTCCCACCAGGCCTGATCCAGACCAAGCACAGGCCCTGTGCTCCCCCCACCTCAAAACCGACCTCAGGCCCTACAGCCCCTCACACGCTCCGACCTCCGTGCCC